GTCCTGGAATGACAACCACAGAAACTTCCTGTGTCCAGGGATGACGGACACATGAAAGTACGTGTCCTTGAGGTCGATGGATGAGAGCCAGTCTCCCTGACGCACACACTCCATCACCTGTTTTACTGTTAACATGCGAAACGGTCTCACCATAATCGTTTTGTTGACCGAGGCACGACTTGCATCGGGGATGGAGGTCCCCTGGCAGGATGAAGCCCGTCTCGTAGATGCGACAGTGGACGGTGGTGGCATCGTCCCGCCCCATTCTCACCGGCCAGGAGGAAGACATCATCAGATTCTTTGTAGTTGGTTGATTTCTTGCTTATCTGCTCTTCTTGCTCTATAGACCGCTCAGAGCTGAAGAAAAATGGGAGCCGAAGGCTGGGTCTCACCGTTGTATATATACAAGGTGCAGACGTACGAAAGGCTCACACTGTCGGTGGGCGTAGACAAAATTTCTCAGTGCCGCACAGGCGCACGTAGGGGTAAACCCAGTAGCGATAGCTTTAGAGGGCGATGTCTATACGAAATAGAACCGTTATGACACTTAAAGTGGGCGTAGCTGGCCGTCACCATCTTGAGAGCGTCACCGTGCGTCACTCCTGGATAACCAAAAATGGGCAAAGAAGCGGGTCATAGATGGAGCTGAGGTTTGGATTATGGATTGCTGAAACCAAGCCAGTCTAGCTCAACATGACTAAGTTCGCTCAGTCAGGAGCTAATGCTATATGCTTCTCTGCCTGAAACACAACTGCTGTAAATACAGAGATCGGTCCGTGTACTTTGCGGCAAACGGATTTTCGTTTTGAAATGAAAAAAACAACGAAAAACGTCTCATTTCCCAATTACCATTAGTATATAGGGACATGAAAAACAGGAAACAAACCGTTTTTTCGTTTTGATATTAAAAAACGGAAAACGAAAAACAATCTCGTTATCTGATTATCTTTGATTTGTGTTTATAGATGGAAATCTGAAATTCCAATACCAGTGTATAAATGTGTATCATCCGATTATTCAATTATTCCATTTAATCTGGCAAATCAAAAACTAAATTTTGTTTTTTGTTTTTCTGTATGTACAAAAAAATTGAAAACTGACGTTTGTTTCCTTGCTTTAACCTCGAAACGGGAAATATAATAAACAAGGAAACCAAACCGAAATAATGGATCAAATTAGGTTTTCTGTTTTTTATTTCCTTTATTTGTTGTAGTAGGTCTAACTATTTCCCACAGTGCTGTCTTGCTTGCTTTGCGCATGCGCAGTGGATAGATTTCAAAGGAGTAGGTCGCTGAGCGCCAAAAGCGGAGGGTCCGGTCCCAGTTGGTCAAACTTTCCAGTTCAAATGGCACTCGAACCATACATGTCTTTAACTGAGGACATGTTTATGAATGGAATGCCATATCATGAGATCTCAGTAAAGATGCGAGAAATGGGTGACCAGCGTGGAAGCTCTGAGATCAGCATTCGGAGACTACTTGCCAAGCATAATATGCAGAGAAAAGGACACACTTCTGATTCAGACCATGACATTGCTGTCTCTCAAGCAATAAATGACGTAACGTTACGTAATATAAAAAAGTAAAACATGAAGCATACTAGACCAGTGGTGTAGTCTACGTGATACGCAGGTAGCCTATACGCTGTATACCCACTAGGAATGGTCAGAGATTTCCGTATACCCACTTAAAATAGTGAGATGATGCGTAACAACATTGTTTTGTGACAGAACTTTAACACGTTCATTCATAAATTCTGTGTTGCGAAGCACTGAACTGACGTTTTCGGCTTCCATGGCCTGTGAGTGTGTGTGTGTGTGTGTGTGTGTGTGTGTGTGTGTGTGTGTGTGTGTGTGCGTGCAGTAGTAGAAGTAGCAGTTCCTGGATGCTTGCTCATGCATTTAAGCTGATTCAGTAGGCTACATAACCTAAGTCTGACAATGGTTTTGGACGATAAGTGTGCTTGAGATGATGTGGACCACTTATTGTGTCCTCACTGTTAATAATATTCTGTAATGAATGAGTGTTGGTGATAGAACTGCTCATAGGCCTATGTTCATTGATATTGCAGCTACTGATAAGCCTCAGCTTTCAATTATTGTTAATAATAGTTGGAATTTGCACTCTTAAATGTGCACTGAAAATTGATGAACCAGATTCATAAAACATCTAAGGATTCATGTAGCTCCTAACTGATGAGTTAAATGGTGATTAACACTAAACTTTAGAAAATCAGTCTATTTGCCCCACCTGCATAGGTGTAATTTACACTGGGGACGCTGGGTCCCCAACACTTTTTCTGTTTTTTCTCCTAAATGTTCTGAAAAATTGCTTGCACCTTGACACCTGAATTTTATGTTTCCCTTTATATAAATAAAGACATTTCCACCATAAATTGTTTAATACTCAAACTCTTCTGGGGGAAGACCCCCAGATCCCCCAATTGTACATTTTCATCAATGAATATTTCTTTAAATAGCATTAAAATATCTTCTAGTCTTGTTCTTGTGACCCCAATATAGGTGCACATTTTAGACAGAGAAGATGGATGGTTTGAAAGAGGTGTCAAGGAAGCCATCTACACCCGGGTTGAGAAGCCGTCATTGAACAGAGGAGGGGGTCTACGCCACCACTTATCCCCCACTTACAATGCTGTCCTTTCATCACTTCCCAGGAAACTCAACAAACGTAACCTATTGGCCTCAGGTGAAGATACCAACGATGGTCGTTCAGTCTTGGCCACAGGTAGTCTTAACGACTGCAACGACTGTCGTCACAGCAACAAGGAACACTAACGAACCAGCGGTATCGATGACCCGGGCCAACGACCCCACTGAGGTTAAATAGCTGAGTTTCCCTGCCAGTCAGTCAGAACTGAAGAAGTCCTTTGGATGAGGGACGAAACGTCTTCCAGTATCTTCAACCAAGTCCAGTTGCCCTTGATTTTAACCTTCGTTGGATAGTCTTTGTGTATTGTGACCTTTTAACCGTGCACATCCAGATAATATTTTTCAAGTAATTCTGTGCATTATTGTTTCAACTTAAATATTTGACATGAACTGTTTATGTATTACGGTGGTTACCTTTAGTTTACAGAGTTGTGGGTGATTCTGAAGTAATTTCCGTCCTGACAGATGGGATGAGTCCCACAGAGGTCTGCTGGCAGACCTTTCTGACCATGTAGCCTATACCATGCACATGTATACCTAATAATACCTAGCCTATATCTAATGCTGACTAATATATTTTCTTGCTTGCATATGGTTCCCGTAACTTTAACCCAATCCCATATAATGCTGAGTATATGAGACACAAGATGCACATGGACCAAAATTAAAAATTGGTCATGTTTGGAGTGACTCATGTGATTGCTGTAGATGGATACAGCAAGAAAATTGTTGCAAATGCAACTATGCCTGCAAAAAACAATCTATGAAGAGGTGTACAGGTCAGTGTTGTATGTTATGTTTGATCAAACATATTTTGTAAATTGTAATAATATTAATAATTTCACATGTGTTTATGTAGACCTGCAGTAACACATTATGGAATTTGGGATCAACTTCGTGTGGATCATGGCAAAGAGTTGTGTCTCTACATGCAAGAGAGGCGGTCAGAATATAGACACAACCAGCAAAGACAGCCATACCTCCAAACACAGTCAACAAGGGTAATGTCAACCATCTGCATCTACATTACACCATTGGTGAAAAATAACTAAGTATACTAACTAAGCCATGTAATGCACTTAAGGCAAGGCAAGGCAAGTTTATTTGTATAGCACATTTCAACAACAAGGTAATTCAAAGTGCTTTACATAAAACATAAAAGCAACAGGGAAATATAAAAAAGTTTAAAAGCAACATAGGGAAATTGAAAAAATACACATTAAAAATAATAAAAGTTACAGTACAATGTACAATCAGGATTAAAAGATTTAAATGGAAAATAAAAACAGGCTGAGGGGTTGAGCAAATTAAGTACAAGTCTGAGGAACCTGTACTTAGCATATCCATGTCTTGCTACTTTATACTCGACTACATAATGAGTAATCTAATAATTTCAAATATACCAATAACCGGGGCCAATTGTCAAGAGTGGTTACAATCAGTACTTCAGATAATACTTTCTAGGATTTTGAATACATAACTTTTTCTTATGTTTTCAACACTGTGTGGTCTTGGGGATTTTACACAACAAGGTTATTCTTAGTCTATTCACTAGTTCCCAACTGTTAATAACATAGAAACACACTGTTAACAGACCTCTATCATCTCCTTAAAAAAAAAAAAAAAAAACACAAATCACACAGTGGAAAGGATGTGGCCAGAAATGAACAGCAGAGTGAATTATCCACTAAAGGAGGCCCTCACCCAGCTACAAGATCAGGAAGCAATAGATATGGAGGACAGTCTGACAAGGTCCTGCACATCTAGTGTTTTATCATTGAACATCACAACAAACATTTCTTGTGTTGTTAAAGAGAGAGGGATACCAAATCACCTAGCAGGGACTGGAACACCAAGAAAAATCTCAACCGATCTTCTACCAGATGCCACAGTTGTAGCTGACATGTATGACAGGGACATGGGATCCTCACCAGAGTATCTTCATTCGGAAGTGACCCCTTTCTGTCTGAGGCAGATAAAGTGAGACCAGAGCAGCACTTTGCACATTATTACCCCGACCTTTCAATTGTTTTTGACATTGCTGTCAATTACAACTATGCTCCCTTCAAAGAGGCCTTGATCTACCTCATTGATGTAACAAAGACTTGTTCCTAATTTCATGTGCACTGGATTGTGAGGAGCCTTGTAATGGATTGCTGGACATCTGTGTCTGTGGACACCATTATGTAGTTACTACTACAACAGTAGAGGGTGTAAGTATACCCTGATAGTCACTATAAAAATGTCAACTGCCTATTTTGCTACCATTAATAAATAATTTTACTGTCATTGTATCCATATTAGACATTATTCACAGGGTTGTTTTATTTAGAAAAAATATATTTATTTTGCTTTTGTACAGAAAGAATAATCAGAGACACATAAATTGTGTAAACAAAGTAAGTCTAGCTTAGCAAATCTCCACAGAAGAGCCTGTCACAACATATTGCCACATTTAGACCTACTAGCTCTTATAAAATCACTGTGGGCTGAGAACAATAATGTAGCATAAAAACATCTTGCCACATTTAGGCCTACTAGCTCTTATAAAACTACTGTGAGGTGGGAACAATGATGTAACATAAAACATCGTTACATTTTCTAGCTCTTAATACTCCAGAGCTAAGAACATTGATGCAACGTAAAAATATCAATCCTCAATATCAATAAGTATTTATAAAATGATATAACACTGACAAGTAAGGATTGGTGGCAAGCAGAAAAGCAGCATTTACTCTTCGCGTGCCAGCTCTCTCATGACATTTACTACACCAGAAAGGCCAGTGACTCTGTGAATGTTGATGGAAAAATCATCTGCTAGACACTTTGAGGAATTCTGAAGCCACACAGTAGTGCAGGATCTGCATCCGACCAAACTTCCACAGCATGCTGCAAATACTGGATCTTCTATGATTCCTGTCAGTGTAAGAAATAAATATTAGAGGTCTGAAAACACAGTACAAGATATACTAGATGAAGAATGAAAAATATTTTCCAATTGAATGTCAGACAGTGTATAAAAAAGCATCCTTTATGTAACTGAGTCTATGTATGGCATAAGTTCAATGAGAATTAACAAATTCCTTTTCTCTGTCTACAGATGCTCCAAGCACACCCCGTACCACTTAACATCACAGATGTAAATTCCTGAAGTATGCTTAGGGAATGGCTCTGTTTTTACGGATTGGCTTCCTTAATCTCAATTGGCTATACAAAGAAAACCAGGAGCAGGACACTTAAGCTTTTAAATGACCACTACATCATAAATTCCACCAAACAACAACAATATGTTTGTCAGGGTGAATACATTATTTTTTGACTTACCTCTGCAAACTAGACAAGTGAATGTATCCCTAACATTCCGGGACTTTTTTTTCGGTCAGTACTAATGTTGTGTTCCCGTTTCGATGAACCAGAGTCCCTGAATGGCAGTTGTCACCTCAGACAAACCCTGAGCAGCCAGGACAAGCTCCTAGATCTTCTCGAACATACTGTCCAGTCCACCCTCATCATCTCTGCGTCTGTGAAAGAGAAACGTCACATGTACAGGTGCTGGTCATATAATTAGAATATCATCAAAAAGTTGATTTATTTCAGTAATTCCATTCAAAAAGTGAAACTTGGATATTATATTCATTCATTCCACACAGACTGATATATTTGAAATGTTTATTTCATTTAATTATGATGATTAAAACTGACAACTAATGAAAATCCCAAATTCAGTATCTCTGAAAATTAGAATATTACTTGAGACCAATACAAAAAAAGGATTTTTAGAAATGTTGGCCAACTGAAAAGTATGAACATGAAAAGTATGAGCATGTACAGCACTCAGTACTTAGTTGGGGCTCCTTTTGCCTGAATTACTGCAGCAATGCGGCGTGGCATGGAGTCGATCAGTCTGTGGCACTGCTCAGGTGTTATGAGAGTCCACTTTGCTCTGATAGTGGCCTTCAGCTCTTCTGCATTGTTGGGTCTGGCGTATCGCACCTTCATCTTCACAATACCCCATAGATTTTCTATAGGGTTAAGGTCAGGTGAGTTTGCTGGCCAATTAAGAACAGGGATACCATGGTCCTTAAACCAGGTACTGGTAGCTTTGGCACTGTGTGCAGGTGCCAAGTCCTGTTGGAAAATAAAATCTGCATCTCCATAAAGTTGGTCAGCAGCAGGAAGCATGAAGTGCTCTAAAACTTCCTGGTAGACGGCTGCGTTGACCTTGGACCTCAGAAAACACAGTGGACCAACACCAGCAGATGACATGGCACCCCAAACCATCACTGACTGTGGAAACTTTACACTGGACTTCAAGCAACATGGATTCTGTGCCTCTCTTCTCTTCCTCCAGACTCTGGGACCTTGATTTCCAAAGGAAATGCAAAATTTACTTTCATCAGAGAACATAACTTTGGACCACTCAGCAGCAGTCCAGTCCTTTTTGTCTTTAGCCCAAGCGAGACGCTTCTGACGCTGTCTTGTTCAAGAGTGTCTTGACACAAGGAATGCGACAGCTGAAACCCATGTCTTGTATACGTCTGTGCGTGGTGGTTTTTGAAGCACTGACTCCAGCTGCGGTCCACTCTTTGTGAATCTCCCCCACATTTTTGAATGACTTTTGTTTCACAATCCTCTCCAGGGTGCGGTTATCCCTATTGCTCGTACACTTTTTCTACCACATCATTTCCTTCCCTTCGCCTCTCTATTAATGTGCTTGGACACAGAGCTCTGTGAACAGCCAGCCTCTTTAACAATGACCTTTTGTGTCTTGCCCTCCTTGTGCAAGGTGTCAATGGTCGTCTTTTGGACAGCTGTCAAGTCAGCAGTCTTCCCCATGATTGTGTAGCCTACAGAACTAGACTGAGAGACCATTTAAAGGCCTTCAGGTGTTTTGAGTTAATTAGCTGATTAGAGTGTGGCACCAGGTGTCTTCAATATTGAACCTTTTCACAATAATCAAATTTTCTGAGATACTGATTTTGGGGTTTTCATTAGTTGTCAGTTATAATCATCAAAATTAAAAGGAATGAACACTTTAAATATATCAGTCTGTGTGGAATGAATGTATATATGGAATTACTGAAATAAATCAACTTTTTGATGATATTCAAATTATATGACCAGCACCTGTATATATTAAATAGGGGGTGGTGATGGCACATAGATAAGATGCTTGCCTTTGGTGTGGGAGAGGCGTGCGACCTCTGACATGTATAGCAATTGTAAGTCGCTTTGGATAAAAGCGTCAGCTAAATGAAAATGTAAATAATTAGAAACTGTTAATGTACGCAAATGATGTGACATGCCATTATATTCAGATTGATTATGGACAAAGAAACAATGGCTTTTGTGCCAATCAAATATTGCATAAAGTGTCCATTGACTGAAGCTGTCCAATTGTAGGAGATATAGTTGTATCAAAGAAAAGACTCAGATAAACATGGCAGTGTTTCAGACGATGGTGAAATGTGCCATTATTTTAGGTGCTTTCATGTAGTCTCTTTGAATATGTTGTACCAGACCAGCTCTGCTCTTTAATTCAGGCCATGCTTAGCCTTTTACAGTGCGTGATGTCAGAAGGAAAAACTGAGGGGGTGTAACAGAAGCCACTGGTAGTCCGACTTACGAGATTCTTCGCCTCTTTTGTTGTACAGCTTGGAAATCAACCTCTGGTACAGCCATGATTTTTCGCGAGTTCTGCTTCCAATAAAAGGTGCCTAATTGAGTACAAAATATAGTCTGTATGAATAAGAGCTCACTCTTGAAGACATGTGAATGCATATTCATTTAGTGTTTATCTGAAATGGCAAAGGTTTGACATTGTTTATGGCTTCAGTTTAAAATATGAGACTTTATAAATGTTGACGTGACAATTAATGGCCCAATATATTTGCCACTTAGCTGTGAAGCAGCTTAAAAGTTCATGCTATTGTCACAGTACATTTTCAAGACACAAGGTTACCTAAACTATAATTTGAGATGGTAAATAAAATTGTTCAAATGAAGCACCTCTTGTTCCTTCTGAGTCCAATATTTCCACTCCATTGTGGTTTGTCAGGATGAGTTGTTCATCGCTTCCTAAGGCATCTTTTACTTTGGCAATCATGGATGGGACACTGGCCTCCTGCTCAGTAAATCTTACAACCACCATTCTGCTGTTCACAAGCTTTCCACTCTGTACTTCTCCCAGACTGACAGTCCTGGAATTCAGAACAACTAAATTTAGGTTCATTCAAAATTTTGAACATACAAGAGAACATTTATAGTTATATTCTATTGACAAGGGCATGGAAATTGGAAAAAAATGTTAACGTATTTCAGGGATTGAGCCCTGGGTGGCACTGAGGGACTTGCTGAGCTAGGAGAAGCAAAACTGGCCTGGTTCGAAGGAACTGAAGTGGCCCTCTGCTCCAGGGAAAACTGCCACATTGGTATTGTCAGTGGCTCTGGCTGGTTACCTAAAAAGAAGTAAGATTTAGGCAAAATCCTGGTAATGGAATTAAATAACCGTATCCACTATCGTTAGGTGCATAAATCCAGCACTACTATCGGTTGCTAGTTTATTAGGTTCACCTAACGTAAGCTAAAATGAATGGAATCCAATACAACTGCAAGTCCTGCAAAAAAAGCATGTACAGTTATTATAATGCAAAAGTTATGTCATGAAGTTATAAATTTTTGTTGAAACTGTTTTAGAGAGGCAACTGTATGATCATTTTAGAGGATGGAGGTGCTATTGAACTGTATTGCCTTAAGTTACAGAATACAGAAAGTTACAGGTGATACAGAAACACATAACTTAACCTATATGTCATTGAGCCTATCCTAATTGACACGATTACGGGTTGGAAAAATAATAGAAACACTCCCTCTGTACAACACAATACTTCAACATCACCACTAACTAACACTATGCGGCTGCCAACTAAGTTAGCTGCCACAGTTAATTAACAGTTCACCAAATGTCACACATTCAAAACATAATGCTAGCAAACTAGCATTCATTAACTTTAGTTAGCTAGCTAACGTTACGTATCTTTGGGAGGGATACTGTGTGAGAATAATAAGCAACGTTTGATTGCCATACCTGAAATATTTTATAAATCTTTTCCACCGTCATGTCCTCCTCTCTCAGCGTCACTCTTTTGGAGGCGCTGAAAAGCACAAACGATGGATCCATAATGTAGCACCACTGAGGGACACTGCTTTGTAAGCTTGTTAGTAGTGTCCACACTTGGGGAAACACACGAAGCACATGAAACCCTTGTGCCTGCAATAACTGAGAGCAGAGTTTGGGCAGAGTTTTAGACAATACATTTTGTAACCTCAGCCCCTCTCTTCACATGCTAATGCCCCAGGAGTTATATATATTACGTTTATTATTGATATTAATATTGTGAATTGTACTGAAGGTTTGTTGGGTGCGCTGTGGTGTTTCATTCCTGGATTTAGTAGTGAAGCTGTGGCTCACAATCACAGAGGCTAGGAATATCTGAATGGGTCCTAGCAAATACAATAATTGCCTCAATTTCTGTGTCATATTGCTTTAATATGCAATGTCTTGTAACAATACCCCCTGGAAGAGATTATTATTGGTGTGATTAAAAAACTTTGTCTACTGCATATGCTAAATTAGAAATAGGATGCAGGTAAGCAGTGTAACAGTGGCTTAAATAAAGTTTTAAATAGAGTAATGTGTTCTAATTGTCCCTACAGGAGGAGCGGGGGCAGAACATATGCAACACTGATCTGACCATCTGTTGGACCTATGCCTGCTACACACACACACGCACACACACAGGGAGAGAGGAGCAGTGTGCGTTCCCAGGTTATCATAAGTGCAACAGATTGTGTGATTGTGTGTGTTCAGGTGTGGTCAGACTCCATGCTAATTTGCTAAGTGTACCATATGCAATGGGAATTGACTGCAGCCTAACACACTGACCCCTAAGGGCTTTCAGTCAGTCAGTGACAAAGACAGAATATACACACACACACACACACACACACAGACACACACACACACACTTACTCACTAAACTTAAGACGGGCCTTCACACTACAGCCTTGATTGTAATTTGGTGGACTGAGAACATAATTATCATTATCTGCTGAGTAATATGTCCATTGGGGCCCATAAAGACATGATTATGGATAAGAATATAACCGCCTTATTACCATTAGCTGCATTTGCAGTTGACATCACAGACTTTTACAGTAACACTGTATTGTAATACAAAGCCTACAATGAGAGTACTCTATTAAGCTTCCTCAACAGCTTACAAATCTCCTCTGATGTCAATTTGTGTTGTGATGATTCATTTATGTATGTAAGCTCTGTGTGTGCGTGTCTTTTGAATTTTCACTGTTACTGTAAAAAGTTTGCCTTGTTTTTCTCACCACCACCAGACAAAAATGTATTCAGTGTACAGTTACTCACGTAGATTTATTTTCTGTACAGGCAGAGGATGGCTAACAAATATGGATTTGAAAATTGACTTTCATTTACTTTTATTATACTTAATGTGGATCTAACATCACACTATAGACAAATTTGACATTTTTGCCTCACTTCTGGAATAATAACAGCAAACTCATCATTTGTTTTACCCAACACTTTTTGGTCATTAAGATGTCTCTAATAGGATGGCTGTTGCATGGAGCGTCTTCATTTACTCTGCAAACTTCCTCATTTTGTGGTGGTTTGCGACAAGTTCCTCCTTATATAATGAGCTACTTTGTGAGCCGATTTGGTAGGAATAATTTATATACCCAAAGAGATCATACCGAACATATCAGCCCAACATTTCTTAACTGCAGAGTATGGAAAGCACCTTAAACTATGGAATAATGGAGGATATTTTGGTCATAATTAAAATTAAAAGTCAAAATAAAAAAAATAAGTAGGCCAATTAAACTAAAAGAAATTTAAAAAAAAACAAATTAAAAATGTAAAATGATCATTTGAAAATGTGAAATGATAATGAAAAATGCAAAGTTTTAACTGTAAAGATGAAATTGAAAATGGTAATAGAAATAAGAAAACAGAAACAGAAAATATGAAACTATGAAAAGCTTAAAGACAGTTTAAATATTTCACTAGTAAGGACCATACCATCAACAGATGCATTTAAATTATTTATTGTTGGCGTCCACATTTGCGGACTGTTATTTTAACTCTATTTTGGGTTACTATATCATGGTTATGTTCTCCAAGTCATTGAGGACAGTGTCAGTTGATGGATAGCAACTTATCGACGGAAAAAAAAATTTAAAAAATTGTGTACTACCTGCTAGGTGGATTTCTTGGGAGGGAATTATCACAGCCTGGTGTAGGTCCATGATTAGCAGCAGCACTCATTTTTACTCATTTTTATTTTTTGTGTTATGTCAGATTTAAAAAAAAGAAATTCACTCACCCATATTAAACACTGGCATAAAAATATTATTGTCATTATTATTTTTCACTTCTACTCAGTTAAATCTCCATTTCAGGATTTTAAGCCTTTAAATTTATGGTATAATCAAGTTTTTGTGATGATACCATAAATTTGTATAAGAGGAAAAAACACAAAAAAAATTTAATTATTTTCCATATACTAAATGCAAAGGGAAAACTTTAGCTTTTAATTATCACAGTCGTGAATATTTCAAAGATTAGTAACACATTGATTTTGGTGCATTTTTTTGATTTAGAAAAAAAAAACAGCGAGGCTCATAAGACCCATTTAAACATGCATGTTTGTAGATAAAATTTGAAATTACATGGTGATAATGAAATGACATTGTGGGCTCTCAACTAGCTAACATCAGATATGTTCATAAATGATAATTACGACACTCTGAAGGAAGGAGAGTTAAGTGTATTAAAGCAGCTAGATAGCTAACTACTGACATTAACCTGCAACGTCACCACCAGCGTGTCCTTGACAAATTATGACACTGGGTTCCTTTCAACAGGTTATATCATTATAATAACTGTTACAACAAGTCATACAAAACTACTTTTCCATTTTTAACCTTTAAATATTGCTGCTTTCATAAATGCAAAATATATATTTAAATTGTTAAATTAAACTATTGCTTGAGTTTGTGTTATATAAATTCATTCATTCATCAGTTTCCTATGTTAAGTGTAAATAGTGTGATCTAAACTTAACAAAATATTATAGTTAACAGCTGTAAATGAAAATATTAAGATGGTGAGTAGAAAGTAAAAAATGAAAAGCTGATTTCTTTAAGAGACAAATGTGACATTCCCTTAGTTACACTGTATTGTTAAAAACAAAGAAATATCTGCACTCTGAATAGTTTGGAAGCCAGTGTCATTTATTGTAACCACTGAGAAGGTTTAGATGCACCTATTTACCACAGCTTCATTCGACCAGCTCTTAGACTTAGACTCTTAGAATAACGTCACAAATAATGATACCACCTAGTTAGATTCATAACTAATTTGTGCAGGTCATTCTTTGTTTCATCACTTACCAACAGGTTACTTTAGATGTGTACACAGTCCTGTTTAAACTAGACTTAAATCAGAGCAGCAAAGAAGGCAGTCTTCAACAACACCTCTGGTACTGGGTGTAAGGCTCCTAATGTATCTTTAACTATAAGGTAGAAAGTAAAAATACTCCAGCACACACAGAAATACACTGCATGATCACATTTCATGGGAAACATGAAACATGTTTTGGGAGTATTTTCACTTTTCAACCTATACTAAACGTCTCTCATTTAGCAAATGTTCAGTTTTAATATTTGATGTTTTATCTGTGTTGTATGACTAGCATGTCTGTGGAATTAACAGACATAATGTGAAATGTAACATTTTCTGTCAGTAGTAAAGACAAAATGAGTTAAAATGGACATAAAAACACATATGGACAATATTTAAAACTAAAAGTAAACAAAAGGGTAGAAGGGCGTTCCTCGTCAGCCCACTCTATCAGATACAGACGTCCAGCACACTTAGGATCCTTCACAGGTCTCTGCAGCTCTCTGGGCACCAGGTCTCATGTGATCCACACTGTGACTATGGGAGGAGAATAAATGTGTAATAAATGCTGTAGGTAATGCAAAATATGAGGTAAACTATACATCTTTAAAAAAACAGGATATCTGGAAAAATTCCTTTATTGTTATATCCAGTGGTTCCTCTCCTCTGTTCACCTTTTGTTCTCCACTGTTCCCCCACCCTATTGTGCCTGTCTGTGTGTTTTCCCCTGTGAGTATGCTTGGTTTGCAGGTGGGCGTGGCTCTCCTCCTGGCTCCTGCACTGTGTCTCTACACACCT